TATACAATTCTATTGGGCTTTCATCTCTCGTTATTTACAACATTGTTAAGTATGATATTAAATGTATTCGGTTTGAACAACAACCGATTGTGTTGATGTCCGCGATTTCATATTATTATATTATTTTATGATAATGGAAAATAAATAATAGTATACATCAAACTTTTTTCGATATTCAACAAAATGGTATATAAAAGTAATTTTAATTTTAGCTTTAAGCACCTCTTCATTGTTTGCATACGAAAAATGTACCTATGTATAAGTAAGTATATTAAGAGAAACATTTTTTGAATGCCTCATAAAGCTGGGTATTAATATTATATCTTATAATTTGTAATATAATACGACATGTAATTTTTTATTTTAAAACGATTTTCATGTCAATTGAAATATTATGTTGATAATCACGATTTACAACAAATAACGTACACCAATTTAAATTGATTTTCTGATTTTTCCGCGAAACGAAAATAAAAAGGAATTGATTTTTTTTTTTAATAATACAAAGCAATATAGTTTCAAATACGTTTTAGTCATTCGTGTAGGCAGTACGTTTTACGCGAAGGGAAGTATTATGTGTGTATATACTATATGTATATATAATTATTCTCTCTTGTTGCTCGGGATGAGAAACCCTAAGGATAGTGGTAAATTATATCAAAGTTTACTCAAACGCAATGCAATTAACCAACCGATATCAGTGCTTGTAACATCGAAGAATAAAGAGCTGAGAGAAAAGTAGTTTGTTATATCGCCTACAGTTGAATACAAACTCCTATATTATAAGCACGTAATTGATGTAGAAATAAATAATTTTGTAAACAATATGCCATGTCTTGACTCTGCGGTTGAGTACATTGTAATAGCAGTTAATATTTTATTATAAAATGATATTAAATTGAATATTATTATACGACTTAAAACAAATAAATACTCCTTCGCTAAAATTATGAACGTGCTCCTAAGACGTAATGAAATTCCCTACTTACAGCGATAACCTAAATAACTTTTTCAGTATAAATTTACCTAAGATTAAACCGTTTAACTTTAGCACAGGGTAACATATTATATATACATGATGGGTATTTTGAAGGTTCCCAAACTTTTTCGAAGTGAAAAAGCTCCAAAATTATATTGTTTTTAATAGTTTTAAACAAAATGAAATGAAAAATAAACATTAAACACGTCATTTGCAATTAATTAAAAAAATATCGAATCCTTTACGCTTAAAATGCCAACTTTCAGATGTGTAAATGAAAGTAATCATCAATAAAATTATTGATTATTATTATTTTATTACTATAAAACCTTGCCGTAATATATTTAGATTTCATTCTTGGAAATATACAATTTTATTTTTGTTCATGACTGTAGTAGACGAAGAAACATTATTTAATAACTATGTAGGTGTTGTTTGAAATTCCATTCGAATGTTAAAGTATGATTAATATTATGCTGTACGCATATAAATCCTGAATAATATTATATATAAGTACATATCTACAAACTTTGACGTGTTTAAATAGAGGGGATTGAATAGAATCGTAATTTTAAACTTAATTCATTCACTTTTACTTACAGCGAATACTGTTTTTCCTTTTTTTGTACTTTTGTATTTATTATATTAGTTTTTGGAAGTCATTTAAACGAATTGTGTCGAGTTTTATGATATTTCTAATTTTATCATTCTTAAATAGTTTATTACCAGAATATTAATTTAGCTGCCATATACTATATAGCCACATAGGTGTAATGATCATAATATTTTCCCCAACGGCTAACAATTCTTCCAAATTTACTACTGTTATATATCTCGGTGGATAAATTATTATTAAATACAAAAATAAAATAAAATTGGTTATTTTTATTATAATTTTTTGATATTTAGCTTGACAATTATTATGAAATTAAAAAAAAAAAAATCAATAACGTAAAATCGCAATCTCAATTAAGAATAATGATGATTGCGCACTGAAACGTAAAAAAATAGTGTTTGGCACACAATAAACCATAATGTATCTACTTGTCTTAATATAAATTTTAATTTTCTATTTTATTTTAACATCTGAAATTTTTACTGTGCGTGTAGTTGAGGTAATAATAAATTCGTCTTCAACTGTCAATTAATGTTAATAATGTTAATATATTATGATTATAGTGAAAGATACAATATATAATTACGTACCTACATGTCGCGAACTTAATGAGTATTACGATCATCATCATAATTATTATTTCTCATTAATTATTTTATTAATTTATTTTTTTATCAAGCACACTAAGTACTGATAATAGTGCGAATAACTAATTCTATTATGAAATTATGTAACCGTTTTAAAAGCTTGGTGCTTTAAATAATTATAATATTAATATAAGGTCGTTAACCCATTTAAAGCATCTATAACGTGTGCCACCTGCCATCTATATTGACTGTATAGTGCAGTACAATATAGCAATGGTGTATATTAATATTGTCTATTGCTGTGTTAAGCTTAACATATTTCATTATTTGTATAATTGTGTGTGAGGTGGGTGGTTTTTTTTAATGCATACTTTTTCATACTATATTGTATTGAGGTGAATGCTTAAGCACCGCTTGAATAGTAAAATCATATATTATTAAAATATCAAAGTACTAAAAAATACTAAAATATCTGAATACTGTTTAAATAAAAAAAAAAAAAATGTATATTAAATATTAGGCTGTTATTAAAATGTGTTGCTAAATTCAATTTAGCACACACTTAAGCTATGTCTTAGATTAATATAGCAAGAACCCCAACAATGAATTCAGAACAAATCATAATTAAGTAAAATATTACCGTTATATTATAGTAGATCCATCAATTAAATAGTTATATACATACCTAACGAGTAACGATCATATTCTAAACAATTAAAATTATGAAACACCTTTTTAAAAATTGAAGTTAGTTAATTAAAAATATATATATTATGTATTATTGTATTATACTAAAAAAAAAAAATAGCTATTAAACAATGATTTTTTTTAAATATAGATTTACGTTTATCTTTTATTATTTTATAGATGTACCAATAATTTCTAAAAGTAATAGACTTAACTTCATTTAATAAAAAATAAAATTACACCTACCTAGCTATTTTACTAGCTTATTTTTTTAAATTTCACTAAGCATTATTTAAATTGTTATTAGAAACATATGAGCACTTATATTTTATTAGGTACTTTTTTTTTACTATGCATTTTTACTCAGTTTTAAATTTGCATAAAACCGTTGAAGAAAGTTTGGTTTATGTACCTTATACTTAATACTTTTACGTACCTAATACAATTCATATTGTGTCATTTTCGTGCCATACCACAATATTATATGACGCGTACATAAAACAAATCTGTCGAAACCAACTTTTTAACGTTTTTATAAATGACTGTTACTGGTGTACCTACATAATTTTTAAAGTAAAGTTTTAGTAAAAAATAAGAATAAAAATGTTTTTGATTCTGGTCTTTAATGCCAAGTTCATACAATGCAATCGTTTGATTATGTATGTTTTGATATATTTGTACGTATGCTAATAATATAGATTCTAATCGAAAAAATATAATACCATGCTATGATGTATATAGCTCTGGAAATGAGACGAGTGCTTTGAGCGAGGTCTCCGCTCGGCATCGGACCCCCGGGACCAGTGAGTGGGACTTAGGACTGGGTGGTTGTTGTATATATTATATACGAGCGAGATAGCTAAATCCAACGATGTCGGTGGTGTGCGCGTATTATGCGTGCATGAAATCCAATAAGGCCAAGATGCTCAATCATGTCGTCGTTCGAAAGGTGCAGATCGATAATGGCCGTATTCACTTAACCGTAATAATCTACCGTCCCAAAATATATACGTAGGTATGTAATTTATTTGTATGGAGCTATTTGGTTTGTGTAACTACACACTTGCTAGCTGTTGAATAAAACAATAAAGCAGTATTTTTGTAAAAAATAAAATAAAATCTGATAATTAAATACTATACACATATACATAAATAGACTATAACATACATGAAAATCCAATTCACAGTTCATGAGGAGAGTGGGTCGTTTAATCGTAAAATAATAAATATAATGATTAATATAAAAATATATAACATGACACTATTATATTTAAAATAAAATAATATTTACATAGATATTACCAATAACACCAATAACAATTTTTTAAATTGGATAGTCAATACTTTTTTCGGATTGCATCATATTGCATATTATTACAATCATTGTAACATATTCAATGCCGTCATAATTCATAATGCATTTCCGTATTTCCATTTTAGGGACTCTGAGATCGTGTGTACATTATGTTGAATATTGCTGTTACGGCAGTTTTAAACTTGGATTTATATAAATTATAGTGAACGTCAGTTTCTTGTAAATTGTTAAATTATTAAGTTTATATTGAGTATTTTATAATTATAACTGTTAAATATTATACATTATTTGGCATAGATTCATATTTCTTAATTCAGTAATTTATTGATGATAAGTGATAACAATCGCATTTAATACTATTGAAACAATTACATTCGTAACATATTTTCAACCTCACCCGAATCGCCAAAAAATCTTCCGATTTGTATGACATCTTATAAAAAATGTAGATACTTATTGATACTCATATTATGCAATTTATTATAATTTTCTATGTACGTTATATTATTCTAATATTATATTATGTAGGTACGTTGATATAAAATTTATAGACTGAAACCAAAAGAAATTTAATTACATTTAAATAGGTATATAATTTATTTAACTTGCTAATTGTATAGGTTGCAGTAACAACTCAACGTTTTTAATTATTTTTGTTAAAATAGAAAATAGAGCTTAATATAATGATTGATAATTTATCAATGATAAATAATCATAAGGCATCGCCTAAATTTTTTTACGTAGAATTATTAATATTTTGAGACTAAACGGATATTAAGATTATTAGTTATTTTATTTACATTTTTTTAAATTTAGATTAGCTACCGGATTCCCAAACTGTAAAACCCGTCAACAATGGTTAGTATACCATTACCGTGGCTCTGGCGACCGTCTGGTGTTATATCCGAGTGGAAAACTCAGACACTACGTCCTCAAACACCAGCACGGCAGCAGCGAAGAACAACAGCAACAGCATCAAGACTTCATCGTAGAACACGAACGGTCCTTCGATTACGAGCAAGGATTTTACTGCTTGGACAAAGTAAGAATATAATAATTATTAATAAATATTTTATGGCCATTGAGATTCTGCGACTACTTTGACGAGCGTAAGTAATGATTTTCAACTTTCGGAACGCTTAATCACTTATGCATATTAGTGGAATGATTACAGGACTTGGTTAAAGAGAGAATACGAGAGAAAGAATAGAAGGACAATTTTATATTTATAATTATTTATCTAAAAATGCAATATGTTCTTGTGTATAGGTATATCCTTTGTATTAGTTCAAATTGTTTATTAACACTTTATACAATAATACATTTATTAATTAAAATACATAAGAAGATTATTAACAAAAAATATTGCTAGTTTTTTGAAATGCTTAATTATGTTTTCATCATTAATATTTTTCGCAGGTCATTGACATTGATCGTCCGGACATAAACGCACAAGTGGCCGTCATCTGTACGCCACAGATACCGTCACCTTGGACGGATTCTGATTTCGTTATGCGAAGGATCGTGAACCCTATTTTCCACGCCATTGCGATAGCTTGCTTGCTGCTCGTTGCCATCGTTCATTTCGTGTTGCCACAACTCAGAGACTTGATCGGAAATATGGTCACTACTCTAGCTGGATGTATGATCGTAGCCCGGATCGCCAACATCGTTCGTATATTCGTCGAGTACAACGGTCCTGTCAGCTATTTGACAGCTGGTATGTATATTGTATTTAATATAAACACAATAAATGTGGTATAAATGTATTTATAGGTACCAAGGTATATTATATTGACCAAACATAATCATTCTAAAACTGAAACCTTTGGTTTGTTTTTTCGTTTAAATTGAAATTAATTTAAAAATTTCAATCAAATTTCTTGGTTTTAAATTACGTGCTGGTACAAACATCTCTTTGCAGAGTATATAATTTAATAAAAAGCTGAAAATAACACAACTAAATAATGATGAAAAGTCTTTAAAGTATTATATTACTTAAGTTTCAATATATAAACATTAAAAATAATTTGTTTAGGAAGTAATATTAATAAAAACATTATTAAATATGCACTAAAAATTGAATTGAAAATATTTTATTTAAAATTATGTAAAAAAATAAGTATTGATTAATTATCAAAAAAGGTATAAAAATATTTTAAAAGTAGAAAATATTTCGTTATCTTCGCCATTTAACATTATTTATCTTCAATCTATATAATATTAGCCCACATTAATAAAAATGTAATACAAAAATTGATCGATATTAGTATAATATGTATATTGCATTTAATAAGTAGGTTTGTCATCTTGTCTTTGGCAATAACGACCGATCGTAATTTTATCGATATTATATGGCTTTGAACGCGAAAATACGTCGAAAAACAAATATATGTGCTATAAATAATAATATGCAAAGTACAATTAGTATTATTTTAATAAAAATGATCTAAACTGGGAACAATAAATTCTCATCAGATTTCAAAAAGCTTATTCCAATGTATATACATTTACATATAAATCCGGTCCTAGTCATAATCCATAAGATTAAAACTCTTTTTAGTGTATATTATAAATCATTTCGCGCAAATATCAATACACATTAAACGTATTAATCACCATCGTCGGCGAGTATCGTGTATTATTTTGTACTTCATATGTTTTGTAAATAAAAATGATAATTTTTTTTTAGTACCTGAAGATAATTTATTGATAGATAAGAGGGAATAAGCCCAGCATTACTTATGTTGGTCATGTAATATATCGATAGAATATATTGTATAATATGTATATCCATTTATTATTATTTTCCTTTTAGACGCGTTTCTTTACACGTCCACGCTCGGTTCGTTCTTTTGGCTGAACGCAATGGGATATTACATTTGGCGTACATTCAAATCACGGAACGTGTTCCTGCGCATTACCGATGGACGCAAATACTGTTATTATTCGCTATACGTGTGGGGTTGCACGTTAACCATGGGTGGCATGGCGCTTTTCGCACATCTAATATTGGACTCACGTCACAACAACGTTAATAGAAACTATTCGTCGCATCCGTCTACGACCACATCAATAGAAGGAGCTATAGGTAAGTTGAATCGAATGTCTATGATTACTTGACCATTTTCTTCCAAATATTAAAATCATTGCAATATTAAGACAAATTATTTCATTTTTATTCGTTGTTTATAAGAGCTTATAACACTCATCTTAATATTAACAATACATAGATCACTTCAGGGTTCCACGGAGCTTAATAAGTAATTTTTTTCAAAATTTTCAAGAAAGTTACTTTAAAATATCTAACTATATAAAGATTAGTAGCGGCTAGTGAGGAAAAAATGTTTGTACAATTTTTATCAATAAAGCCCAATATTAAGAATATTTGTAATAATAAAAAACAATTTCACTTATCTCATTAAAATTATAATTTAGTCTAATTAAAGTAATTTAAGTATTATTATTTTTATTTTAACATATTTTATGGATTAAATATATTTAAGACATTGTTATTATATGAAATAATTATAATTTTTATTGAAAATAATTCTAAAAAAGCTGGAAAGCTAAAAAAAAAAGTAGAGGTTCCTCGGATAAAAAAGTTTAAGAAACGCTGACATAGATAATTAAAAACGATTATTCGTATATTATATTTTAGTTTGATGTTTCTATAATTCTAAATTATTAAAAAATAATAATATTTTATTGTATTTTATCATAATGATCTTTAATTTTAATTCATTTTATATTTTATGTTGATCTATGTACCTATAACAATAATATTGAACAATACTTTTACCAGAAAATGATAGATATCTATTTAACTTAATGAGAGTGTGACACTTACTTATTTTAATTTTAAAAAAATGATAATTGTCAAGTTAGTTTTTACGCATTTGTTTGAAAAGAAATACGAATGTGAACGTGAACGTTCCGAACATTGTAAAATAATAACAAGTGCATATTTTTGCTTTTTAAACGCATAATAGTATATGTTTTTAAAGCACACCCATATAATAGGTAGTTCTCTGTATAAACTGTTAAAAACTATGTACACACTGCCTTCGCAGACGTGAAATATCACTGCCTCTACAGAAGTTGTAATGTCCAAAAAACTAAATTTTATGTTTTTTTTTTTTCTACACAGGGTGGCTCGGAATTGCAGTCATATTCGTTCCAGTCATATGCACTATTCTAGTCAATTTGTTTTTTTACGTTTCCACCAAAACAGTGATCAAACGGATGTCGACATATGGTCAAATCCATCACAAAATGAAATATAGGTAAGAACAATATTATCATTATAATATTAATTAACAAAGGAGACATTAACGTTGATGAAGTGTGAGTAGTATATAATGCATAATGCATACGCTAATATATTAAAATATACTAAATAATAATATATAATATTGCATTCGTTGCAATAATAATGATTTAAAAAGTTTGAAGTTCGACGGTAGAAATTTTTTAAAGGTATCAACTTGATTATTTACTTTCAAACTGCCTTGACAAATAATCAAAATTATAGTTATTTTTTGCAAATTATTGATCAATGTTTTAATTTGAAATTTTGTATTACTAAAACATAAGTTTTTTTTAAAAAAATTTCTAGCAAAAATCATAATTTTCGGGATTTAAAATTAAAAACTTTGTAATCTGACAAGTAATGTAATAAATAAAAATCTTTTAGGTATGATGAATAAAAAATATGAAATGTTATCTTAAATTATAATTTTTGAATCAAATATTAATTTGACAAACTTCACAAAAATTTAACACTTATCAATTCATCTTAATGAAGTATATTCAAAATATTAACTATAAATTATACGCATAATATAATATATGACTATTTATTTCATTAATACCATACAAATGACGAATACGAAATAAGTAGTATTATACTGTAATTTCCTATCTCTCGACTTATAAACCGTTTTATTAATTCATTATAAATGTTGCCCGAATCAAGTACCTATTTCATATTTTAGTAATCATATTTAAAACTACCAAACAGATGGTATACACATATGTAATAGATATAACCCATTGAGAATTTATATTATAAATAACTATTAAATACTTGATGCTCTTGAAAATGTGGAGGTATAAGAAAACTCTTGATTACGAAAAAAAAAAAAAAATTGTCCGCAAAACGGTTGTAGTGTTGTACATAACGTCTACTAATGTAACAAACAAATAAATAAAAATAAATGATTTTTATAAATCTGTTCTGTCGAATGGAAATTTGCCATATTGCAAGGCACCGTGAAAACACGTCCTATACCATATATAGTGGCCTATTCAAGGGGTGTTTTATTTGTTGAAATTAATTTATTGTTTTACTCGTAGACCTGCTTATACACTATACTAGCTGATGATGATCTTACTATCTACGGTGTTAGTGAAGCTATATAATTGATTTTTTCTCACCTACAGTTTCGACATGTTTTCCAAACTTTTCGTGATCATGGTGGTCGACTTGACGCTGTTCATCTTGTCGTGGACCCAACACGACTCGCTGTTCTACATACACGTCGTCTTCAATCCAGTCCAAGCGGCGTTAGTACTCTACGTGACCGTTATCCGACCGAAACGCGTTAAGTTTCTGCTGCGAAAGGCCTGCTGCTATGAGCGGTGTATTTTGCCGTGTTGCCGACCAAAGGAAACAGACGTACAAGCCGGCACCGAATGGGGAGAGGAAATGATGGCATTCAACACTGCCGATTATTAGCGATTTTGTCCACTCCAGTTTCGTGTTACGATACGCGTATTACGTATATGTTTTATAAAATGTTACGTACTCTATGTAGACCAGGTCATTACAATATTATTATAGGTACTAATAAAAACGATCAGACGAAAACGAATGTCGTCGTATTTATATTTTATGTTCTTTTTCGATAAATATTACGAACTTTAATATTAATTAGATTTTAGATTTTTATAATTATTTTTACTATCATTTTTTTTTTTTTTTTTTTTTTTTTTTTATATATATATATATATACAAATCGCCATTACAATAAATGCAATAATAATATTTATACATAATATATTGTGTAAGATTTTGCGTGTACTTACTTATTGTAATCGCTGCTGTTTATTTATTTTCAGTACCTACCTATTCATGATTCTAAGCCAAAATCATAAGTAGATGTACTTTACTGCTTCTTCTATGTATAGATACGAAGCATTCAATGTTTAATAATTATGTTAAGTTATTAAGTATACAAATATGAGAAATGTTCCAATTAATGTTTATAATCAAGTACAATTTTAAATATTTAACGCGTTTGAAATAAAATATAAAATACGTAATCTACATAATTTTTTTTTTCATTTTTTTATCCTGTAAAATACTTTAAGCGATTAAGTTGATTGTATTTACATAATAATCTATTTTTCTGAATTACAATACAAAATAAATAAAGTTGTTTGATGAAAAATCGTTATTTTTAATATATTTAATTTAAACTTCTAACAAGTAACAGTTATGAAAAATAATATTGGGCTCGTGTATTTTTATATTTTTAAGATCTAGTAAAAAAAAGCTCATTAGGAACCTATTGTATGTAATGTCTTATCATGAAAAATTTTAAATGTTAAACATAAAAAAATATATTGGTAGAATATCTATAAAATACTATTAAAAATATTTGGTCATAATTTCAAGTCTCCGTAGTTATTTATTTTTAAATTTTTGTATTAACCATCGCATTTTGAGATTCTATAAACATGTTTTGATTTTTAACAGAAAATTGAATCAGTCGAGGCTTGATAAAAATTTGAAAAATCACTGTATCTACTTGACAAATAATTGGTAAAAACAAATTAAAGAAAACAATATTTCTTAAAATTGACTATTAATTTAAGATTTTTCATAAGTTTTGTGTTAAATTACATAGTTTTGAAATTAAAAAAAAGTTAAACATATTTTCACAAAATAATGTTTATGAACTTTAAAGATTTGATTGTTTTAAAAAATTCATTAAAGCTACAAACATTTGCAAGTTATTTTGTACCTATTTGAAAAATATTCAGTTTCAATAGTTTTTAAAATGTTATTCAAGGTTCCATGTAAATTATTCTTACAAAAATCTCAAAAATACAAATGCTTAGTTTATTTATTTTAAATATTTCTAGTTTAAATTTTGATGAAATTAGATATTGTTAAACGAAAAATAACAATTTTAGTTACTTTATTGTAAGTTAGAAAATATTTTCCATAAAAACTTCAAAGTTCAAATTTTACACCAATTTACAGATTACATAATACATAATATATTTACCTATTGATGTATAATTAATTACTAAAAATAATACAATATTTTCATTACGCATGTATAAAATATTTTAAAGCTATTCATAAAATGAATCTATTACTATTTATTATTTAGTATTTTATGGTATCGGGTATGTTGTTATTGTCTTATAAATTATAATAAAAGCTTATATGAATTAACATAATAATCAAAAAATACTAATTTATGCGATCTTATTGGTTTTTTTTTTTAATTAGTTCGATCTGCCGTATATCTCTCCATTATATAAAATGATTTTGTTTATTTTATCTTGCATTTACATTCAATTTTTAAATATTTTAAATTACATTTATTCAATTTTAAAATGAAAAGAGGATCAAATCTCCAGGAAGTTGGTGTGGGTTAGTGATTATATCGAGAGAAGAAAAACTATTAGTCATTATTAGAAAAAATTAAATACTCATATGCAGATTGTTACTGTTCAAAATTGTTTTTCACCGTGATATCGTATACAATGAGTTACCATTAAATTAAAATTCTTCAACTTCATTACTGCTACCTACTTAATGACAAGATTAAGAGAACATCGTATCTGCATATGTTGTATTCGACTTACTAACGTATACAGTGGCGAATTAATGGGATAAGGAATAAATCCGCCTTATAATGACGAAAAAAATCCCGTTTTGAAACGGTTAAAATGAAAAATATACACATCATGAAAATTATTAAATAAAGAATTTTTCATTATGAATATTATGTTCACAAAAACATTAATTTTTCGTCCAAGGTATATAGACGTTTGTTATTGACATAAAATCTATTTTTGCGTAAGTATTAAATATTGTTATCATTATTAGTTAATTACTTTCATGTTGTGGCCTGTAATTCATTTGTGTCTACTTTTATAATAGCGTATTCAAGCGCCATCGAAATATTATTTTAATTTATTGTTTGATTCCTTAATTCTTGTTCATGATTATCTGATCAGAGTGTCGTGACTCGTAATATTGTACCGTACCAATAGACAATACTGTAAAAGTAATCTAAAAGATAAGTCAATTTTATGATTTAATTTGTTTATAATGTAGAATTCTTAATACAGGTATAAATATTTATATAATAAAAATATTAAACATTAAATACTGTTGAAATATATGATTAACATTAGTAGTTAAAATTATATAAAGCTTAATTTTTTTTTAAACAGAGAAGACTTAACGGCTTAGTTATACTATTCATAAATCTTAATTACTTAATAGCCGCTGATGAAGTTCTTATTGAACTATATAATAAAGAAACAACGTTTGGAATTTTTGTTTAATATTATTAAATTTTTTATATGTCTATTTAGTTTTTTATACGTAACTTATTTTCAATTTTCTAATAAAAGTATTATTACAATTATAATAGTATGAACTCTGAATATTTTAATTATGGTCTTTGAATAAAATTATTGTATTAGGTGAAATGTAAACCACTCAGATAGATAAATTTATGAAATGTAATCCTCCTCCCTCATAAGAAAATCGAATATATGCCACTGAACGTATACCTTACAAAAATATATGTTTAGTAGCTTTAAATTTCTGTATTTAGCGTATATATATAAATGATTTTATATGTATTATATTTAAATTAGAGTAAAATGACCTAATTTTACCTTAAAAACTTACCTAATTTAAAGGTAAGAATATTATCTGAATTCATTTGTTGTTTTTTTTACGGTATTTTAATTTTTAAGCAAGTTATGAGTCGGTAAATTATTTAATCAGTTATAAGTAAAAAGAGATTCATAATATAAATAAATAATAGTATCTTAAAATAAATCAAAAACGCTTAGTTTAGTAAAATTCATAATAATATAATATATTTAAAAGTTTTAAGTTTCTAAAAAATATGCTATTAAATTATAACAACGTTATTGGTATATCATTTAAATAAGTAATTGTAATTCTGTCAACATATTTGTTTACTTCAAATGTACTAAAAAAAAAAAAATTTCGCTTATGTATTCTTATAATATTTATAAAGGCATAAAGTTATAAAAAAAATCTATATGGGATCTAATACTAAATGTTCAAGCTTTTTGACCATGTAAAAAATATGTATCCCTATTATTTTATAGAAATAACTAAAAATAAAATTGATTCATACGTCTGTAAATAACTCAAAAAAGTAATATTTTGAAAATTTTAATATGTATATAAAATAATTATATAAATATTTTGTGTAATTTTCAAATATCTACTGTTATTCGTTTTTAAATAACGAAAAAAAAAATTTCTTTTTACGAGAAATATTTATTATTTGAGTGAATATCCAATGTTATTAATGTTATAAAAATTTGAACTTTAAACAATTATAAAATAAATGTGACTTTTCGGTAAAGTTTTTATTTTTATTGTAGGTAAAAAACTAATGAAGAATCTTATATTACATTTTAAAACCCTAGATATAAAAAGAAAAATTTTAGCTGATTGTGTATAATAATGGCCTTGTATCATTTTTGCATCACTAGCTATCGTTCATTTAGAGTTTAGACCATTTTTGTAAGACAGTTGCGCATCGTTTGATTTTTGGGTTATGCATCGTTTGTGCATAGCATGTTTACCATAAGTAAAATGATCATACATAATTTACCCATAAGCGTATTATTCAACAACAACACCAAAAGAGATTAACATTATCTAAAAGCACAAGTTGCTTAATAACTTTCAGCTCAAACTTTACGCTTGTTATATTCAATTTTAATATTTAATTTGGAGTAGGTATTTTTAATACAAATGTAATATAATTATATATTTATATTAGAAATATATATATATATGAGATTAAAAACTTAAGTGTTCGAGCAACATGTTATCGCGACCATACTATAGTTACTACTTAAGTTTTAGTCAGAAAAATATTTACAAAATAAGTTTTTTTTTTTAATATCATTAAAAAAAAATATTATTTAATTTTAATTTAATTAAAATTTGGCATTTAATTGTAAAGAATACAACATTAAATTTGAGCTAACATATTATTTATAATTGTAGATAATAGTTATTAATTACATAGGTAAATACTACATATACAAAATATAAAATATTACCATATATTATAAACTAAACTGATTTAACGTTCATTAAACTGTTACCTATGTTTTAAAACTATTTTGATTATACACATTAATGTTATGGATGAAATAATTTTAACACTTCGATAATATCGATAGCTCGCTACAAGACAGTTAGTCGTATTTTAAATATGAATAGAAAAAGTAAACAAAAGTTTCATATTTATTATTATTAATAATTTATTATAAAGTTCTGTATATTACATACCCGTAATTAAAATACGAAAGCAAACTAGTCGATATGTACCTACTGTATGTTTAAAACAATAATTATATTTTTAACCCTAGAATGTTATTACCTTATTTATAGGACTTGGGAGTTTTAGCAAATGCATCATATATTTTTATTAAATCATAGAACATCGAAAGTAAAATACAAATTTGTTTCATATTTTACAGATATCGTATAAAACATTTTATTTTATTAATTTATGCATATTTACGATTTCTAGTCCTAGTTTACAAGTTTAGAGTTTTAAATGTTAGCTTTAGCTTAATTTTTTATAAAATGAAAAAATTAAACAATAAAACTCCACTAAAATTACCTCCCTTTTATAAATTAT